TATTTCTAAGGATTTGTCAAGGTGAATAGTGAACTAATTACAGGGGAGCTTAGGACTTTCAGAATTTAGGTGCCACAGATATTAGATTATAAGATTAAGAATGACTTTAAATAATGAAAATGTTCTGTATACTTCAAAAAAGCCAGGAAAATGAATTTTAAGGTTTTCCCCACAAATAAATGATAGACATTTGAGGACATATAGTTGCTTATCCTAATTTGAATGTTACATAAGTATATACGGGTATCAAACATTACATGGTACTCCATAAATATGCAAATTTTGTGTCAACTTTTAAAAAAGGAATAAAAGAGGCATTTCGTGTGTCTCTACCTCCCAGGCCCTTGGATGACTTGTAACCATCACTTAAAATATAAGCCTCAGCATCCTCATGTGTAGAGTGAGGGTGTCTATATAGGATTTAAAATTTCTGCTTTCTCTTGTTCTCCTCATTCTTCCTGTTATCACCAAGGAGAAAATATCCTTCTTTCCCAAGACTAATATTTCCATCTTTGTTTTTAAGTCTACTCAGTTCCCACCTGTTCCCATCTGATTCTGTATTCTGACAAATATGCTTTGTTCTGTTTTTTTGCTTTTTCCTTCAAAACTTTATGTATCTATTTTTAGTTTTCTTCCCCTAATGTAAACCCAAACTGACCTCCCACCCTTGTTCTAAAAGAACACTTTGCCTTTGGTCATGCTCTTCATGTTCTGTTCTTTGTCAAACTTGAAAGAGTCACTTAACTTGTTGGCTTCTCCTCTCCACTACATACTCACTCCTTCTTCAGCTCATCTGAATTGTACACCCACTGCCTACTATTCCACTGAACCTGCTCACACTGTGGAGGACAACCGAGAGAACTGAAAGTTTTTTCAGTTCTCCTCTATCACCATAATGGCCCAAATTCTTTCTCCATTTTGAAAATGATCTCCCCTTTCTGCTTTCAAATCACTGCATGCTCCTAAGTCTCCTCCTACATGATTAACTTTTCTCACCTTCTTTCTTATCAATGTTTTTTCCTAAGAGTCTGACTGGAGTCTTTTAACTCACCCACCCCCATGTGACCATTCTAAGAATTTCATGTTTGTTTTTATAGATAAGATTTCAAGGGAAGGCCTGGGAAGCCAAGCAAAATGTAGCAGGGTTGAAATCCCCACAGGTGATTCATGAAGCTGTAAGAAGGAAGCCAAAGCTGCAGTGGAGACACCCTGGATTAAGAAATGCTAGTAACATGGTATGTCTGCTGAGGAAAGCAGTTGGCTGCAGACAGAACCAGTCTAAGAGAGAGGCTATGTTGGCTATAAGCGACAAGGCCATAAGGTCAAGGCTGTCCAATTCCTTTGGAAATTGTATCTCAAGGCCATGTGCCACACACACATACTAGACATGGAGCTATAAGACTTGTTTGACCATCTGGGTTCTAGTTTTGATTTCTATGCCCCTATTTCTCCCTTTTGGAATGGGTATGTTTATTCTGTGCCATTTTGGTTTTGGATGTATGTAACTTGTTTTATTTTTATGTAACTTTTTATTTTGACAGAGGCTTACAATGAAGAGTTTACCCAGAGTCTCAGATGAAATTTTGGAGACGGAATAAGTGCATGTTTCATCATGAGATGGACATGAGTTTTTGGGATCAGGGGTGGAATGTTATGTTTTGCCCCCCCCAAATTTGTGTGTGAGACAAGCAGTGAGGGTGTCTATATAGGATTTAAAATTTTTGCTTTCTCTTGTTCAGAGGTGAGATGATTAGATTATGAAAGCTGTTACCTAACTGATGGATTAATCCATTTGCTGGATTAATAATTGAGAGGAACACTGTACTCTGTGTCAACTATAAACAGTTAAGTTGTGGCTAAAGGAAGTAGGTCACTGGGGGCATGCCTTTGAGGTTTCTGTTTTGTCCCTGGTGCCTAACTTGCTCTCTCTGCTTGCTAGCTGCCTTGAGCTGAGCAGCTTTCCTTCACCACATCCTTCTGCCATGATGTTCTGCCTCATCTCAGGCCCAGAATAGGTTGGCTGACCATGAACTGAACTTTTGAAACCATGACCATAAAATAAACTTTTCTTCCTCTAAGTTGTTCTCGTCAGATACTTAAATCACAGTGGTGAAAAACTGACTACCATACCCCCAATTTATAACTAACTCAAGTAATGTGTTTACAAATGTCTGCTAAAAATCTCCTTGTGGATATGCCATGTCAGTGTGTCCAGATTAAATTTATTAATTTCTCCAGCGAGACTGACTCTCCCCATTTTTCTCTAGAAGTTTATGTGATTTCTCTAGAAGTTCTCTATCTGGCAGTCATATAAACAAACATCTAGCCCTCCCTCCCTCTAAAGGACTCACTCTTAATGACTAACGACCTTGTGATTATGCAGTGTCTTGAATCTAAATCTTCCTGTCACTTCACAACTAGCCTTTCATCATTTGTCAGTACTTTGGTAATAGACTCCTAATTGGTTTCCTATCTCCAGACTCCTGGAATACCAATCAATCTGAATACTGCTACACCAAACTGTGTAAAACATATACAGACTATTCACCCTTTACAAAAAAAAAAAAAAAAACCAACCAAACAAAAAAACCCCAACTGTTTCAGGTGTTTGGTACTTTGATTTTATGAATTATTTGCTCTCATTTTCTTTATGAACATTCACCACTTAAAATTGTTACAAAGCATCTTAAGATTGTTACAAACTGTGTGGACAGATTTTTTTTTCTAGTAATCAAAGATATTGTACATAACTGAAGTCTTCTTTTATGACACATTTTAGGTATCTTAGGGGAAAAATAACTTTTTAAGGAGGCAGTTTTGGAAGTCTGACTGACCTTGGTTTGGTCCTCAAACTGCTAAACTGAATTTCAATGTTCTCAACACTATTAATAATAATAACCAGCATTTGTTGAGCACATGTACACACTCTGTGCCAGCACTGCTTGAAGTGCTATTGATTTTGAATAAAACTCAAAGCAGGGGGAGTGGTGGTGGGGGGGGGGGGGGGGGCTGGGGGGGGGGGGAGAGATCAAACTGTTTTCCTGCTATTTCTGAAAAGATAGTGAATTCAGAAAGCTTACATAATTTGTCCAAAGTTACCTAGCTGGTGAGTGGAAGAGCTGGGATTTGAACCCAGTCATTTTAAACCCAGAGCCTAAGATTTTAATCACCCTTATACACCTCTTTCATAAAAAAATGTGTATTTTGCACATGTGTACAAAATGATAATTGGTTTTGCTCCAAAAGATGGCAAGCAGTGTCAAAAGGAAAAGGTGACATTATCAGAGTGCATTTGTAAATAAAGGCAATTTTTTTCCAGCTCCAAACACCTGAACAAATAATATAATTTGGGGGATAGTTTTAAGCTTCTATAGCATTTCCAACAAAATTGAGTACACACTGTTCCATTGTTACTTTGGGATTCTGTTGTATTGTGTAAGGTCAGCATTTAAGAAAATGTTCATTAAATACCAAGTTTGTTTAATCATATCAATTGCATTTTTCAATATGGTTATTCTCACTTCCCATCTATACTGGTATTTTCTACCAAAAGGAGATACTTTGATTTTTCTCCTAATTCTTTGAGCTTTCTCCTAGTTATTACTGTCACATAATTCCTAAGGTAAAGATAACATTTTGAAGAAAAAAACACCAAATTTCACAATATATTTTAAATATTTTGTAAATTTAAAGGAATTTTTGTCAATTTTCTATGATTAGGCGAATTGCAACAGTTAGGAAAAATAGTTAGCAAAACATTTTGTTCAAAATACTGCAATGCTCTTAATCTTTTACTGCAAATGGATTAATGCATTCAAAGAGTTAAGAGGAAAAATAAGATGAGAGAAAAAGTTGGTTGACTCATTGTGCAGAAATAGTCTAAATCCTCAGTTCTCTAACTCCAACAAGGATAAAACAATTAGAATTTGGTCTAAATGTTAGAAAATAGACTTTGCCGAGAGGGTTGACCCTTTCAAGATGTGAAATCTCTTTACTTGGGGAATTCATGATCAAGGATATCAGTTTAGATCTCAGGAAGGGATCAGGTCCACCTCCTGTCTAGGGTATATATTGAATATATCTTCTCTGATACTGTGAATTTCATGTTTTCCACTTATAAACCAAATGCTTTTGAAAGACTTCCTAATGTGGTTGAATGGTCATAAAACAATTAGTATACATGGAGATATGGACAATACTGAATCTAAACATCTTTACCTCTGTTCTTTGTACATAATCTTTCATAGAATGCAGATTGGCATTCTTTGAGTCTTGCCTTTTTGGAGAAAATATGTATGCACAACATATTGCAAATAATTTCAGAGAGTTTGTAGTCTGTTGGCTCTGTTTCCTAGAGTACAGCTTTCTTGGTTCTGAATCTTATTTTTTCCGTGAAAAGACTAAATCCTGTTTCTGGACTTCCTCAGTGCTGTTAACTTTCTTAGAACTTCGACAATTGTATGCCCTCTTAGTACTTAAAATAAACCTTGGCTGTAGAATCAATCTGGGCTCCTTTATAAAAGCATGGGCTTCCAAACTATTGTTTCATTGGTTCTTACTGCCCAATCTTCTAAATATTTTATTTCAAAAGCCAGGCCTTTTGTAATCATTACCTCTGTTCACCATTCATCACTTAAGTTCAGTCCCCAGAGCCTACATAAATTGTCCCATGCAAATGATTTTTTTTTAACTTTTGCTAATTACCATTTGCAGAATTATTTGCCATGAAAAAATGTACCCACCAGAGCGGTCAGCCAAGAGTTATTTCTTCTCAGCTGACCTGAGGAATCTGCAGGCATAATTTAATTCCCCAGATCCTGCATATTTAACTGCCAATCCAGAGGGAGATCTCTAGACCTATGACTGTCCTGATAGGAAAAAAAGGCAAGTTAATTCAGCTTAGCATCTCTGTCCATGGATTCTCTGAACCAGGTGAGAATAGGTTTTATAGTTTGTGTGTTGTCTATTTGTTAAATTACCAATTTAACAATTTTACTCACGTGTTGAAATGCTCAGTGAAGATCAAGTTTGTGGAGGTACCAGTAGTTGTTGTCAATCCACCAATGGTAGAAGAGTAAGCAATAGACAAACACATAAGTTTACACATCATGTGATCCTTCTTTGACCGATATTTTGCTCCTGTGATTGAGTTCTGTTCAAATAGAAAATGTACTATGAGAACAGCTCCCTTTGAGGTCATAACAAGAAGTAATAACATTTTTTTAATGAAATGACTGTGTCTTGATCCCGTTTAATTAATATCTTTGATATCATTTGGACATGGGACCTGTTGAGAATAATTATAGTTAGATGAGATCAAGAGGATGGGCCCTGGCCTGGTCCTTTTAAGAGGCAGCAGAGATTTCTCTCTCTCTCTCTCTCTCTCTCTCTTTCTTCCCCCCCCCATGTAAAGATAAAGTGAGAAGTTGTCTATCTGCAACTCCAGGAGAGAGAGCTCACCAGACACTAACCCTGCCAGATCTTTATTTTGTATTCCCAATTTCTAGTACTGTGAGAAATAATTTTTTGCTCATTAAGCCATCCAGTCTTTGATATTTTGTTATGTCAGCTTGAGCTAATAATGTATATATCTTTACATCCATAAAGTGACACCTGAAAATATTTGACAGACATAACTGTATTCCCTAATCCTTCATTTTTATGTCTGATTCAAATGATCCTTCATCTCTTTCCTTTTAACCATGAATTTTCACCACTTTTATGCTATTGTGGGTCAGTAAATTTCTCATGGTTATCAAAATTCTCAAACTCTTTTTTGGGAGTTTCCCCACCTTGGTGCTTTAATGGCTGATCTCCAAAAGATATCACTATCACTCCAGAAACTGAATACTTTTGATGTCATGTCTTCTTTGCTTCCCATTATTTCTTTCTTTCCTATATCACACAAAAATAAAATTCCTTTTCTTTAAGGATCATGTAATTTGGATACCTCTTTCCTCATTTATTTGACTACAATATTCTGATCTTTTAGGCACTGGGAGCTATCTTACATTACATTTTCACCTAACACATAATTATCTTCCCTACTTTATATCCCCATCAGCATCTGGATGACTATCACATTCATGAATAACCCTTAAAATATCCTAGCTTCACATATTTTTCATCTCATTTTTCAAAGACCTGCAATTCTGCTTTGTCTCAGTTACCCTTTCCTATAGTTACACCTTGGATAGTGCATGTCTTCAACTGGTTCCACCAGGAGATCCCTATTCCACATTTAAGTGTGTTGTTTAGGACTCCCTCGGGTGCAAGCCATACCAACTGCATTCATGTTCTCACCCATGGCCCACTGTGTTGCTTTGATTCTTGTGGCCCTATGTTGAAATGTAGGGCAAAATCAATAACTTTTCTGGTTATTTCATTCAACAATTTTTCAGTCAATTTAGTCAAAAAAGTAGCATCATTTCAGTAGTTTAGATGAACAAAGCCCCATTTAAAAACAAAGTCCCCCCAAACTAATCTAAGATTTCATCTCATGCCAGTCAGAATGGCAGTTATCAAAAATACAAACAACAATAAGTGTTGGCAAGGATGTGGGGGGAAAGGCACACTCATACATTGCTGGTGGGACTGCAAATTGGTGCAACCAATCTGGAAAGCAGTATGGAGACTCCTTAGAAAAATTGGAATGGAACCACCTTTTGACCCAGCTATCCCGCTTCAGGGTCTATACCAAAGGACTTAAAATCAGCATATAATAAGTAACACAGCCACATCAATGCTTACAGCAGCTTAATTCCATTGACCCCTTTTGAGTCTAGGGGGCAGACATCAACCTGGAAGCAACCTAGATGCTCTTTAATAGATGAATGGATAGAGAAACTGTGGTACATGTACACAATGAAATACTACTCAGCATTAAAAGAGAATAAAATTATGTCATTTGCACATAAGTGGATGGAGTTGGAGAATACCTTGCTAAGCAAAGTAACCCAATCCCAGAAAACCACAGGCCGAATGTTCACTCTGATAAGTGGATGCCAATCCATAATGGGGATGTCATGGGAAAAATGGAGAAACTGTGATTAGGCAAAGGGAGAGGAGGAGAGGGAGCATGGGGGCCAGAAAGATGGTGAAGTGTGATGGACATTATTACCCTATGTACCTGTATGACTGCCCATAGTGTACACATAGTGTATGATGCTACATCATATACAACCAGAGAAATGAAACATTGTGCTGCAATGTGTACAGTGAATCAAAAAGCATTATGCTGTCATATATGCCCAATTAGAATAAACAAATTTTTAAAACATTAAAAATAAATAAAAAACAAAAGCCCCAATTTAGGTAAACCTTCTCTCCTTCCCTGGGTCAACCCTAAATGAAAGCTCACAGATAAAAGAAAACTGGGGAGCTGGGTTTTTGGTGTCTTTCTTCTGACTTCCACCACTTGCTGGATTCAGTTCTAAATCTTCTGCATTTAGAGTGGCCGTGATAGGCAGGATGAGGAGAGGGCGGTACTTTAAGGTCTTATTTGAGTGGTATATGAGTTAAGATACAGCTTTAGTCTTTAGTGCTCTCCAGGCTTGGGGGATGTTCAAAATGACTCCATCTCATGAGCACTGTTACAAGTTTTTAAGAGGCTCTTATCACCAGATATAACTGGTGCCGGGGATGTGACTTGTGAGAGAGTGCTTGCCTTGCCTGCATGAAGTCCTGGGTTTTAACCCCAACACTGCCACCCCTCAACACACACCAGGAAAAAAAAAGAAAAAGAAAGAATATCAAATTGTTCCTTTTTCTTTGTGGCTAATGGATCTCTTTTTATCCTGTCACCAAACCCTTTTGGAAGACTTTGCCTTTTTAAATGACACCAAATACCATTTTTCCTCCAAGTTCCTTATAATTGGTCCAGGAGAAACTGACATATCTGTTCTGTCATCAGTGAAAATATAGCTAAAACTCTACTAGGTAAGGAGAGTCAACTGTGACCTTTTATTTTCAAATTTTCCAAGAGTGTATTAAACACAAATCCATTGACCCCTTCTGAGTCTAGGGGCAGACATCAAGTTCTCAAGGAGGTGTTTTCTCTGACTCTATATCACCAGGCTAAGTGTGAGATTTTTCCCTTTCCTGTTTCTTGATGATATGGAGGTCAGAGATAGGGAAGTACTCCAAAATTCTCCATCAATAGCCTTCTTCATTTTTAACTCTCAGGTTAAGAGTATAAAACTCTTTTTTTATTTTTCTTTTTGTTTTCTTGTTCTCAAGTCTTATGTATTTGGAATGTGGGAACATAATGTGCATGCTTGATATTGTAATGACTCATTTAACTACTCCATTCACTAAGAAATCAGCTGATTTACCACAGTTTCTTCTTTTTTCTTCATGTTGAATTACTACCATGCTTACAGTTCTCCAATACCACTGGCAAATTTAGTCACAAAAGCTTCTAGTTATTCCCACCCAATGGATTGGTTCGCTCCTTTTTAAACTTCCCTCCATATTCAGCTTAGATTCCATGGTAAGCCAGTTAAGTAACCTTCTTTTAAAAATTCTAAACTTTGCTTTAACTTCCTTTGAACAGAAGTTATTTATCAAAACTCCAACTTTTGTTCTCTCTACATCATGTCTGCCACTGAAGAGCTAACCATTATTGGTGAAAATTGTTCATATAGTACAGCAGACTGCATTTCATATATTCATGATCATACATGTCTACTGCTATATCACACTGACCCTCATCTACTGTGTTTCTCTAAGTTACTTGTCTCCACCGGGAAATTTAAAAACTCTTCTGTTCTCTTATCAATTCTCTTAATGCTCTTTCTTACTCTTCCCAAGTAGCTTTGCCACCTACTTTCACAGAGTAAACAGAAACCAGCAGACAATGGTATTGCCTAGAAGTGTAGAGAACTACCTGCTTCTGCCTCACCTCTCCTCCTTCTCTACAAACATACTGGTGTAAATGTCTCTCCTCCAAACCATCTCTTGGGTCATCTTAGAAACCTTCCTCTATAGACTATTGGAATTTTTATCAACATTTAATAATTTTCAAGACATCTTTACAAAAGAGCATAAAAGAAGTCCTTCTTAACTTATTCTCAATTAAATACTGCCCTACCTCATCTCCATTTTCACAGCCAAATCACTAAGGTCCACATTCATTGACTTCATTTCTTTAACCTTTTCAATCTGTCTCTCTATTCCACCCAAAATATGCTTCCTATGATCATCAGTAAGCTCAACATTGCTAAACTCTGTAGATACTTTTCAGGATCATCTTTGCATATCTCTCAATAGCTTCTTCCTACTGAAATCTTTGGGTTTCTGTGAAATCTCACTCAACTGGTTTTTGTTCTGTATCTCTGATTATTACTTTGTCTCCTTTGACAATTCCTTTTTCTTTATCCTTCCTTAAAACTGTTTTCAGAAACCTGTTATAGTAATTTGTCTCTTCTCACTTTAGTATTTTTACTTTAAAAATCATATTTTCATTGATTTAGTGATATACCAGACCATCAAATCTGTCTTTAGCCCAAACTCCTTCTAGACCCGTATATCCAGTTGACTGTTCAACATAATTTGAATGTCTTTATTGAAACTCCAATTCAAAAGTGTTCAAAACCATACTCATGAATTGCTTCCTCAAACCCAGTTCTTCGAATTTAGCCAATGGTATCACCACCACCATAGTAACAAGCATTTACACTGTTCTTAGCATGCTATAAACACTGGTCTATATTAAAATCAGATAAACATTTCAATTCTTACAACACACTGAAGTGGGTAATATCAGTACACCTCGTTACAAATGACAAGAGGCACAGAGAAGTTGAATTAATTGCCCAGGGTCGCAGTGCCTAAAATGGCAGGCTTGGACCCGGAAACCATGTAGTCTTGCTTTGGAGTCCACACTTTCAGCCACTGTGACGCATTTCTTGTTCTCCTTAAAAACATTCACTTCCTCATCACACTGGTTTCTGTCAATTTTATCTGCATAAATATGCAGGGACTCTGTCTAGTTTTCTCTATTTCTACTGCTGCCAGACCTAGGTTACTCAAGTAAGGTCTTTATGAGACTTCTTGCATGAATCTTTACCTATTTCAGACCTGCTCCACATACTGCAACCTTACAAAAATCCATAATGTCTTTAAGAAATTTATGAACACTTGTTGTTTTGT